TCACAGGTCATATGTCAAGTCTAGTGGGTGTGCCTAGGTCACAGATTAAATATCAAGTCTAGTGGGTGAGCCCAGGTCACAGGCCAAATCCAAAGTCTAGTGGGTGTGCCCAGGTAACAGGTCAAATTCAAAGTCTAGTGGGTGTGCCCAGGTAACAGGTCAAATTCAAAGTCTAGTGGGTGTGCCCAGGTAACAGGTCAAATCCAAAGTCTAGTAGGTGTGCCAAGGTCATAGGTCAAATGTCAAGTTACGTGGGGGTATCGAGGTCACAGGTCAAATGTCACGTTACGTGGGTGTGCCTAGGTCCCAGGTCAAATGTCAACTCTGGAGGGCGTGCCCGTTCATGTGATCAAGTCGGATCTAAATGCGTGTAGCGTTAGTCAACGATTTGGAAACGTTTGACACTTTAGCGAAAAACGCCCTCTAGAAACGAAAAATGTAACATAGTGACCCAACTGCCGCTAGGTGACATTAGCTTGGACAATGTGAGACACGTGTGTAATCAAGCGCCAAGTTCAACTGGTAACACACACCACTGCACAAATCTTGGTTCTGATTTAGATTCCGGCGACCGAAATTTGATAGAGACTTCGCCTCTCGAAATGGTAATTTTAGCACGTTTAAGATCGACGACTTTCTTCAGTTTTGTAAATAATGAGACAATTGATTCACACATTCCTTGGTAACTTTGTAAAATGCGTAAACTCCTTAAATTTGCAAACTTTGTGGAAATACATACTCCCAAGAGAAATTAGTTTCTTGTCAAATTTTAACTAAACTAAATCAGATGAAGGGCGTCTATTATTATTGTCAATTGTGTCAAAGTTTGTAAAATCATTTCACAAATCTCACGAATTTACATATTACCAATAACTACGTGAACTGTTTCCTTGTAAATTCCTACAGGTTTCCTACAACCAGTCGAAACTCGAGGCAGGGAAGAAAATATGGAGTTGTCCGACATGTCCAAGAACCTTCAAGGCGAAGCAGGGCTTGCAGCAGCACGTGGTCACCCACGATCATAATGCTAAAGTAGAATGCAAGGTGTGGTTTTGATTTGGAAATTTTAACGGAGTACATGTTAACACATTTTTCGTTTGGGAAATTTATTTAAAATTCTGGACGACTAGCTTAAAGTCGCCAAAAAAATTATAGGTTGATTAACCCAACGGCACGCGGTTTTCTTTTCAAATTAAAATCAGCCAATATCTTTCAGTTTCAATATTGCAGAAGGTTTCTTAAACTTGAGATGTTTAAACCTGTCAAAATCTAAAGTGTGTATTTTTTTAAAAAATTGGAAGCGATCTGCTCTACAAATTTTTCATCGAATCATTTCAAAATGCGTTGACTATTTTGACCATAGGAAATCAAGTCCTTACTTATCGATTTTCACATTTTTCTTTTTGTATTTCCTAGATTTGCGGCAAGATTCTGAAAAACCCGGCTTGTTTGTATTTCCATACGCGCAACATGCATGCAAAGCGGGAACGTCCCCGGTGCCTGATTTGCAACCGCACATATTTCAACATCCCAACGTTACGGAAACATGTCCAACTTATTCACAGCTCAAAGGACCATGCTCGTTTCCCATGTGGATTTCCTGGTTGTGGAAAATCGTACCGAAGGCTGGCCGATTGTAGCCAACACGAAAGGATCGAACACTCCCCGAATCCGATCCGATTTCGGTGCCCAATTTGCCCTAAGGTGTTCAAAAGGAGACAACACCTCGAACAACACGGCGTGACTCACTCGACAGAGAAACCGTACGCGTGCTCCACGTGTGGGAAGACGTTTAAGAGGAAATGTCACAGGAAAAAGCACGAGGTAAAAAACGCAGCAGATAATTCTTGATCTTTTTAACCTTGGATTTTAAAATTAAATCAGCACATTTTTAATCGTTTTTGGACTATGTCAAATTATTCAAAAATTCTGTCTAGCAAATTTTTAGAGCTGGTCGTTGGCAATTTTTGGAAAAAGTTGACACTCCAGATTTTTATTTCGATAGTTTTGGAAAATTGAAAGGGGATCTCGAGTTTAATTAGCCATCCGAAAAATTGAAACAAATCCAAACCGCATTAAAAACGTCACAGCCATTCTAATTAATTATCACCTTGCTGAGTATTTGTCTCTCAGGATCTTAAGGGGCCGTTCATAAATTACGTAACACAAAAATAGCGATTTTCTAGATCCCCTACCCCCTCCCCCCTTTAACATGTGCATAGGGTGACCATATTTGTCCTGACTAAAACTGGGACATTTTTTGGCCAATTTTTTTTCCATAATATCTAGTGCTTGGCGAAAAAATTTTCCATAATATCTAGTGCTTTGCGATTCAGATATCACCGAATTTTGAGAATGAGTCAGGAAATTAATGAAATTAAGTAAATATTACATGCATGTTACTAGTATACATATATGTACTAAAATGTACTTTTTCATCAATATTTTGGCGAAAAAGTGAAATAATTTAATTTTTCTCGACGATTTAAAACACCGGGACATTTTCGGGACGCCGGGACAGGGTTTGAAAAGCGGGACATGTCCCGGCTAAACCGGGACGGATGGTCACCCTACATGTGCAACATACACTCTAAATAAATTTGATTACAATTTAATCAATTTTAAGCAAAATTTCCACCAAAGCAAATATTCAGTAAAATTTACTCTGACAAAGGTAAAATTTACTCAAGCTTGAAAGATTTTTGCTCAACTTTGGGTAAATTTTCCCTCTGTCAGGGTAAATTTTGCTCAACAGTTGCTTTGGTGGCAATTTTACTCAAATTTATTTACAGTGTAGGCACGATATCATTGGAGCCCTAAACCTTGCCTCCCCCCCTCTTGCGTTACGTATCTAATTTATAGACGGACCCTTAAAATAAATTCCCAGCGGCCAGGGTACGGAGAAAACCCTTAATGCGTAATGGGGTCTTTGCAGGATTTTGAGGCAGATTGAAACAACATTCGTTAAACTAAATACAACTTACCCTCAGAACAATGAAATTTTAATTTTAATATTCATCATGAAATTGTGAGCATTTTATGTACGATCTGAATTTCAAAGTCTCATCAGATATTTCTAGTTTCCTACACGGTTTACTTTACATATTAGACACGAACTTTTGACTTAAAAATTCGAGTCAATACAAGTAATTAAAATTATTACATGCTGAATTCGAATATTGATTTAGTTTTACTCAACTAGATATGTAATTTTAGGAATTGTTTCACCCCACCCCATAATCTACACAGACATATTATTTTACATCTTTGACTTTTATTTTTAATAATCGCTAAAACCCCGGAAAACCCCTGTGTTTTCGAAACTCTGCCAGCGGCGAGACATGATTAAAAATGTGTTGATTTTGACGATTACTGAACAAATCCTTAAGTAATTCTTGGAATGAGGGATTCATTATTATTTATTTTACAGGATACTCACTTGGACAAATCGGACCGGAAGATTATGTGGTGTCCCCAATGCCCAAGGACGTTCCTAAGCCTTCTTGGATTTGAGAGGCATTACCACCCAGAAATGGTTCAAGGTCACCTCAAACCAGAACAGGAGAAACCTTAAATAAGTCTCCGTCAACATTTTTGCCATATGCCCGCAAAATGTATGTAGTTACACAACTGACAAAATCCAGAGTAGCGTTAAATTGATAAAGAGTAAAATTTGGTCTGAATTTAGAATATGCATACATATGTAGGTACAAATTTTGTAATTGTCATTTTATAATTGTATGTGTAATTGAAATTGAAGCAATGTTGTTATTGTAATTATCATTTGTAATTTGTAATTTGCCTTTTAAGTAAGTTGGCCATGTCTGAAACCAGAGCTCCACGCCGATGTAAAAGTCGGCGGCGGCGGCGTGAACGAGGGAAACCTTCGGCGGCGGCGGCGCGCCGGATCTTAGGTCGGCGGCGGCGCGCCGCGGCGCCGAATCTTCTGTCACCGGCGCGCCGATGTTTTTTACTCTTCAGTTCAGTAAAGCGGGTCAGTTTATTAACTTTACAAGTTCCTTTATTCTATAGTAATAGTTTTGTCTCGCTCCATTATAACGTAATCAGTGTTTCTTTTTGTGCATGCATAGTGCATAAAATGCACAAAAATGCATAATAATGAAAATCGAGTCAGAATGCCATTAATTTCATATTTCACTTTTATATACGCTCAACAAGAATCAAGCATTTCCATTTTCTAACAATTAAAATTTTATCAAGGCGGAAATTACGAAAAATATTTCTAAATTCCAAATATTAAAAAATGGGTTGACATTGCTAATATTGTTGAATGAAAAACATCGTAACATAACTTAGGATTCGTCCAATATCGTAAATATTCAGCGTTGCTGCATGGTAATCAGCTAAATTGTTTTTGTGCACTTTTCCAGATTTTTGGTGGATGTTATTAAACGCATGAAAACATTTTTATGCACTAATTTTGTGCAGGTGTTTTTAAACAGCAGGAACACTGAACTTAATATAATATAAAATTATTAACTTTACGTCTTAACTTAACGGTAGTATTAACTTTTAACTTTGTGGAAAATATTTTCATGCAAATTGAGTAATTTGCAAAATATTTTAATCTTCATTGAGTTGAGAATCTTCATAGAGAATCTTCATTGGGTGCAAAATATTTTCGTAGAAATTGAGTTATGTGGAATATATTTTCATGGGAATTGAATTCTGTCTAATGAGTTTCATGCAAAATATTTTAATTCTGAAAATTAAATATGGTAAATTGATTAGTTAGAGGCGAAAATAGGCCGCGATCAAGGGACATGAGCATATGTAAGAATGTGATCAAGTAGACATACCACTGCGGAACGTCCAAAAGTAATGCATTGAAATTGCATGGGTACATGCAAGACAACTCTGGATCACATAAGATTGAGAGTTGATTATGGTTGAATAAAACAAACGTTGTCTTCATCCATTTAGTATACATTTGTCAGAATTTATTTAGATTGACTATATGATAATTACCAGTCTGTTAACTAAATATCGAGCATGGCATCATAGTTGTCATGCACGAACAAAATCTTCTTGACTTTTAACGGATGCAGCGACGATCGGCGAGATGTGACGACTAACCCAGCCGTCGAAAATGCCCGTTCCGATGGCGCACTAGTTACTTGTATGCTTAAAAACCTCTTGGCCAAATTTGCTAGATTTGGAAATCCATATTCGTTTTTCCTCCACCAATCCAACACATCTTCCGAGCTGATGGCGACAAGAAGGTACTTCTTTACTTTAGCGTCCAAGGATTCATCAGGGATTACCAGAGAATGTTTCTTCAGCAACTCATTTTTGATGTCCACAAAGTTTTTCTTCTTTTTGGTTTTTGGCTCATCCTTGACGTCATTCTCTGCGCCCTATTGGAGCGGATACAAATTTAATTAATTAATTTAAAATTAGTTTTGATGTTTTTCTGATTTTGTAAAAATGGGTATGAAGTGAATACAGAAAAAATTAAATTTACCTCTTTATGAACAATAGCGCCACGAACCGGGGTGCCATATGACTTGCACATTTGCATTAAGAATTTTAACTTCGATTGATTCTTTTCAGCAAGGTAGGTCTCAATAATTGTTAATCGCTTCATGCCTGGATCAAGTAAGCATGCACATACGATATCTTCGGTAACAGGAAACCGGTGCTCCAAATGACTCAACAAAGTTTTCTTTATTGATTTAGTCAAATCGGAATCCGCATCTTGCATGGAAATTCTAATAAATACATTTGTATATGTATGTATGCATATATAACAGATTAAATTTCCCATCGCCCAATAATTTATTAAATGTACCTGTCGACGATCTCAGATCTTATCAGAAGTGACAAATGTATAGAAGGATAACTGGAACCTTGCAAAACATCAGTAGCAATTTCGAAGAACTCGAGAACTTTTTTAATTTCTATCGCTGCTTTAATTTCATTGGGCAATAAAATCTTCTCGTACAGTTGGTGTCTCTCCAGAACGTCTTTAATAATCGCTGAAATAACAAATCTTGAGATTTGTAAATTGGTTAAGTGCTCAATAAACTATCTAAATTACCTCTGTTTTCCAAAAAGCTCGTCAACATCGTTTGGATGCTATTCCATCGCGTGGGGACGTCGCGCTTGAGAGTAGTGAATGTTCCCGTGCAATTTTCATCCAAAAGCATCGTGTCATATTGATCGTCAAGTGCAAGAATTTCCTCTAAAAAATATCTCATTTTTATTTGTTCATTTCAGGGAGATAAATTAATTCAATGCAAGAATAAAATAGTACCAGTTTCGGAGGTTTCTTCTCTAGCCTTAATTTCCGTTGCGGAACTGGATAGTTCATCGTATTTATAAAGTAGACTCCTGTGAACTGCTCTAATTTTTTTCAAGATTTCACTGCAGGTTTTTAAATCTTCAGTTCCGTTGTCCAAAAAATCCTTTTTTATCAAATTATGCATTCCGTGCGCCAAGCAAGGATGGCGCTGGAGTCCACATAATTTTAGTGCTTTTATTATGTTGGCACCACCATCCGTGGTAACTCGGAATATTCGCCCGTCCAAGCTGAAATTTTTCAGAGTTTGTTGAATATCAGCTGCAATCGCCTCGCCAGTATGAGGATGGGGAAACGGTGAAGTTCCAAGTGAAATATTTTGCAATTTCCAAAGATCATCTATCCAGTGACATGTGCAGGTGATGTAAGATATTCTTCTGTAATTGTCTGTCCAACAATCAAGAGTTATGGACACGCCATCTCCGGCTGAGGATAGGGCAGCTTTAACTTTTCCTAACGTCAGATTGTACACGTCGTTCAAAGCCGCACTTCCTATTGTTTGCTCGTCTGGTAACGACCGCGATGAATTAGTGATTCCATATTGACAACAAAAATTCTGGAATCCATTTTTTGCGACGGTGTGAAACGGAAGAAGGTCCCTACAGAACCAAAGACAAATTTCACGCCCCAGTTTCCACTTCTTGTCGGTTGAGTTGGCCTGGACGTCCCTTCAAAATACGCTGTCAATTTTTGCATTTGCTTCGCATGGCTTTTAGTTTTCGTGTCAATTTGGTGGTTTTGTTGCAGGTGCGTGTGCAGATTTCCAGTGCTTACGTGGCAAGAATACCTAAATTATATTACAATCTTGATTTGTACCTATCCAAATTTAAGATTTAAATTTTTTTTAATAAAGGTAATTGATTTAATTTTGGCTTACTCCTTAAAATTTCCAGAGTCCAGGCATAATTTGCAAAACACTTTAGATTGTTTCTGTAGAATAACTTCACCAAAATTGGCAAGTTTGCCAAAATATCGCCATACCTCACTATTTGGATTGGATGAGAGTAGCACTGATAATGTCCCTGATCTTAGCAGATTTGGCAAATCCAAAGTGGGGGCGGCCATTATGCTAGATATTCGATTAGTTCAATGTAAATATTCCACTGTGCACTTCGACACTAGACGTACTGGACCATGTGGAGGAATTTTCCCACAATGATGAGAGCAACTTGAGACTCGTCCCTTTGTCACTTTTTAATGACTCAACCAAAGCGAACAAAATTTGCATTTATTCCATAATTACAATTTAATTCGTAAAATCCGTTGATGAATGCAGTATTTTGTTTAAAAATACAAAATTTAAATTCGAAAAAATATTTGTCATGGATGGATATCATATTTTAACTTGCACACATTTCTTCCGATTGGGCTCGAGTTAAATTTGTTTTCGTTATTTAAGTCGATAAACCTGTTTTTGTTATAATTTGACCAGCACCCAAAAATATTACAATTTCTCTGGAATTTCTTCCGCAAAATTCCATCCAGAATTTTCTTCGGAAGAAAAGATTCTAGATTTATGATGAATTTGTACACCACAATTTTCATTAAATTTCCATCCCAAAAATATCCCAGAAAATTGTTGCAACTCAACCCTAGAAAATTTCCGTACAAATTTCATGTCTAAGAATCACATAAAAATTTGCCCCTCAGAATTATATGAATCATTGCGCAAGAATTTCATAAGTTTTTTCCTCAAATCTCTCTTCAGAAATTTCCCAAAAATTTGGTCCCCCTGCAAAATGTCCTCCACCTAATTTCACTCTGCGTACCTGAAAATTGTCTCAAAAACTTGTTTGTCAAAAATTATTGATTTGTTCTAGCAAATAACTTTAGATTTTTTGTACGATATTTATCAAAAAATTATTCAACCAAATTCGCAGAAATTTTGCTACAAAGCTTACCTGAGAATTTGCCCAGTTTGCCTTCCATGAAAATTTTGAGATTTTATTGTAAGAAATTGTATTTTATTGTAATCCTTTTCAAGAATTTCTTCGATTAAATTCTCCCAGGAATTTTTTCTTAATTATTCAAGGAATTTCTTAACAAAATTCCGACAGAATTTCTCCCACATACTTTCTCAAGGATTTCCTCCTCAAAAAATCAGAAAATAAATATCAAATACATATGTATGTACTATCATATTTACTGCGCAAAAATTCACCTTAAATACCCTTAAATTTATATAGCATACAATTTGAAAATATGCTCTAAAAGTACGCGGAGTACTTTTCGAATGCGTGTAAGAATATCCAAGGTTGAGTCGTGCATTATTAACATCATCAATTGTTTTTGGAGTGTAGTGTAAGGGGTACATATACGCAGCACGTGTATCATGTAAATTCTCGGCGTCCGAACCATATTTACATTATTTTAAATTTTATGCCCGGCAGCGCGCCGGCCGTTTTCATCGGCGGCGTGGAGCTCTGTCTGAAACTATCTTCAAACTTATGCAGTTATTTATGTAGGTCACGTCATTTTAATAATTAAGAATAGTTTAAAGATGTTGATTCGCATGTCGAGTGGGGCTTATTTTCTTTAATTGTATGTAGTTATGGATAGCATATATGTAGTCACCTTAATTTTGTGCTCACCTTATTACATAGACTTGATAAGTAAATTATTGTTTACAAAAAAATAAAAAAATTGCTAGAAAACCGTGATTTATTTATATTCATAGGAATAATAAAATTTTACATTTTTAAAAGCAAATACATAAATGCATATATTTTTATATTGCTTGAATTTAAATAAATTACGTCCTTTTATGGAAATGCCGTGCTTGTCTGAATGTCTGATCGAACTGCCCCGAACTATTTTTTCTCGCACAAGGGCAGGTACGAGTTGCTTTTTGAAATTTTGGGGTATTGTGCACCACAATCTTCAAAGATACAGTGAAATAATTTGTGCGTGTCACCTCATTTGTACATACTTATAAATCTCATTTTGCTCATTTTTTGCGATACGAGCTCTTCATCTTTAATGAACGGTATATCTCTTCAAATTCGTCAAAATATGCAAATGGTATGACTTATGACTATCGTAAATAATCTGGGGTTAAGGATTAATAATCCTTAATCTCAACCGTTTGAGTTATTAACGGTTGAATTAATAGCGATTAATTATTCAAGTATTTCTGACAATTAATAGCGCACTATAAATGAGTCTCACGATACCCCTTTAACTCGGCCGGTGGTAGATGATCAGCCGCTGGCAAGAAACCGTGAGCAGAGCCGATTGAGAGACCGTGTAAACGGATTTTTTTCAAATAATAATTGATCAATACTTTTTCAGATTTTGATAGTTTTTCAAAAATTCCTTCATATCCTTGTTCAACATAGTTTGACATTGACTAGTCTAGAAAACCATTTTCACTAAAATCTACATAGAGAAATAACTTTTATACAAAATTTCTTGGTTTTTTGAGAATACCACAGAAAAAGTTTTTTTTATTGTCAAATATTCTCACAAAAAATTTTCGAGTAAGTCCTTTGTTCTGTAAATTTTACCTTACATTAAATATTTATATGCTAATTGTGTCAAATTATCTATTTACATATTATTTATAAAAATTGTCAGTCAACGTTGTAATTGTGATTTAATTTTTTTGTGTTAGATCATCCTACGTACAACAAAATTTCTTTGGGCGAATTTAGCACCAGGTAAGTAATTTCAAATTTTAAGGGAATTGCTCATTAAGTGCACGTGAAGGGAAGATGAGCAAATACAAAATTCGTATTCACTCATCATTTTGGGTAGTGGTACACTCTTAAAAATAATGTTACATTTTTTATTAGTAAATTTACTCGAATTTTGAATTAAGCGGACTTAAACCGGCTAATTATTAGTATTTACTTAATATTCAATTGCGAGCGGATTGATTTTTGGAAAGGGTTAACGACAACATTATTTTTCTGGAATGCACACATAGGTATTTAGGTCAGTAACTAATATAATGTTCGAATATTGCGAATTACAGGGAGATGGCGACCGAACTTGCGACCGAGTTAGCAGCAGAGGTCAACACGCTGAAAGCACATTTGTGTCAGAGTCGATACCAAATCGACCAAATTGCTCGCCGTGCAGGAGTCGTCATCGACCAGGATGAGTTTTGTAATCATTATTAAACTATACTTTCAAAACAATTATTTTTCACTCGAAATTCATTCAATTTAAAGATTGGAAAACATTATTTATTTATTTAAAATTTATGCTTATTCACTATTCCTTCATTTTTCATGCATTTAACTTCAAATTAGCCTTATTAAACAGACGAACTAAGCATATTTAGGGTGAAAAATGAAAAATAAATAAAATTATTCAATCATTCTTCATGAATATGAAATGATTAAATATTTATTCAATCTTCAGTCACCCAATAATTAGGAAAAAATATACACTATGAATTTATTGATCAACTAATTATAAACTTATTCATTCTGTATTAAATAAATGAATGTGAACAGGTATGCTTTAAAGTACTAATACGTTTTAATTTACTCTAAATGCAGGTTCTAATCCTTGCGATATCCTGGCAAAACTGCTCCATTTGGTGGATGAAATTTTATCCCTGCCGGTTACCGAGAGCGTTATTTTCACCACGTTGGCGCTTCAAGGCTCCCTTTTCCCCATAACCTTCAACGACGACGGCTCCAACTCCCTCCTCGACGTTCTTAACGAGCTGTGCTCTTCTCTACCGGAAACTCTGGAGGACGACACGGATTTTCTATCCGACCAAATTTTCGATTTGGAACAAGACGTTGCGATTAATGAATCGCAGGAGAAATTGGACCTTCATCATACAAATGTCACGAATTTGGGTAATTCATACATAAGATAATTAACGTTCCATTGCATTGTGGGTTTTGAATTTGAACTTTCCCTTGTTGTATATATTTAAACGGCGATTTTGAAACATGTTTATGGCCGTGCGTTTTTTTATAAAATGCACGGCTAAAAATGTTTTAGGGCATTTAAAAATCCATAATTTTCAGGTGTGCAAAATTACGAGGTTATAATTCTGAATTTTTTCTTCCATTAGAAAATTTGTAATTTTGTATGATTATATTTTATGTTTTATTTTCACAGCAAAAACACAAAATCAAAATTCTAACCTCCTAACTTTGTAAAACTCAAAATTATGGGTTTCTGACTCAATATAATCTTCATTAAAAAACGTGCGAAGATGAACAGGTTTCAAAATCTCAGATTAACTACACAAGAAGGAAACAAAATTTCAAATTCAAAACTCACAGGAATGGGCCCATAACATATTCATTATTCCTTCGTAATCATGCTATTCTTCGAATCTTAAAATCAGTTCCGACGGCCACGAGATGGCGTAAGTTTTGTTATGCAAACTGGTATTACGAAGGTTACGATTTGTATGAAGCTTATTTTTCTTCGGAAGCAATTTTTTACGATGCGAAAGAATAATGAATCCCTGCATAATATTTTTGAAAACTGAAGGTATTAAAAATCGCAATAAATATCTACATAGATCTCGAGAATGAAAGTTCATTGGAGACTTCATCATTAATGGTAATTCTAGTTTATTTACATATTAACGATTTTTTGGGCGTTTTTATAAATCATGAAGCAATTCACGCAATGCTTGGTAACGTTATAATGTCAGTAAATTCTGTAAAGTTACATAAAAGCTTTTACAAAATTTAAAAAATACTCGTGAGAATACATAGATTACGACTTTTTTTAAATTTGTAAATCATATCAAGGGATTGTTTGCTCCTTTTGTGAAACTTTATCAAATTATTTTACAAAATTAATTGATTTTACGATATTATCGAGGACTGTGTGAATTGTCTAATTTTAATTTAAATTCTACAGAGTTCCAAAAATCAGCCGAATCTCGAGCAAGGGAAGAAATTGACATCATTCAATGCTCAGCAATTCTTGAACGTCCGGATGATCACGCACGATCCCAATGCTAAAGTAAAATGCGAGGTATGCCTTTAATTTAAATTTGCAAATTTTAAAGCAGGTTTTAATGATTCCTTGTCAAAAGAACACATTTTAATCATTTTCCTGGTCTGAAAATTTAAAACAAAATTCAACACGGCAAATTTGTAGTCAGTACATAAGTCGAATAGAATATCGGTGAACCTTTTAAGCCAGACTCGACGAGTTTAAATTTTTCTGAACTTGAGATACCCCCCTTTAAAAATTGTCAAAATCTGGAGTGTATTTTTTTCAAAAATTTGAAACTCCTTGCTTCATCGTCTAATTAGAATTTTTTAGTAAATTCGCAGAGCGAGAAAATTATTTTTAAAATGTGGTGATTTTGGGTACATTAATTATACGCTTTGGTTTGTCTAGATTTGTGGGAAAATTCTGAAAAACTCGGTTTGTCTGCAACTTCACGAAAGAAATATGCACACCCCTCGTGAACGTCCCCGTTGTCAAATATGCGACCGTGCGTATTTCAACGGCTCAACTTTAAGGAAGCATATTAGGAGCATCCACAGCGCACCAAATGAAGCTCGTCCTCGTTTCCCATGCGAATTTCCTAACTGCAGAAAATCCTACCGAGCGAAGTGCGATCTTTCTAAACATGTAAAAGTTCATCATTCCAAAAGTCTCGCCCGTTTTTGTTGCCCACATTGCGGCAAGGAATTTAAATTCAAGCACCATTACGAACAACACGGAGTAATTCACTCGTCTCAGAAGCCACACTCATGTCCCACGTGCGGAAAGTGTTTTAAGAGGAAATGCCATTTGAGAAGCCATCTGGTAAAAATACTACATATAATTTATTGCCATTTTTTAAATTAGTACGCTCTTAAAAATAACGTTACGCTATAGAAAAGTCGATGACTCATCGGTAAAATGAACACGTTTTTAATAATCCTTTCTCAGTTCTGGGAATTTCCTTAAAAATTCTGGACAGCAAATTTACAAAGCAGGTCGTTCAACAATATGTATCCAGATTTTGACAGTTTTTTGGCAGAAGATATCTCAAGTTTAAGATATTTTCAGAAAAATCTCGTCCAAACTGATTGAGTTAAGATAAAAGAAACTCACCGCCGTTATATTGATCAACTAACTTGCTAGTAATTTATAGTCCAGAATTTTTAAATAAATTCTCAGAGCCAAGATAAATCTAGTGATTTCCAAGATTTTAATTAAGAGTCAAGTCCTACTTAATGTAAGTAAATTATACCAAATCCAGAGTATCGTAAACTTGATAAAGGACGAAGTTTGCTCTGGATTTAATATAATTACTTAATTTAGAGTTCAGAGTGCATTCACTTTTGAAGAGGATAGCGTTATTTTTAAGAGTGCGATGAAATGACGGATCTATATTTATTCGTTTTTCAGGCAACACACTTGCAAAAATCTAGTCGCAAGATCTTCCAATGTCCCCGATGCCCTAAGAAGTTCTTGAGTGGGTATGGATTAAGACGACATGCTGCCCGTCACGATGTTCCCCATGCCCACGATAAGGTTAAGAAATTCGTGTGCCCTCTCTGTGATATGAGATTTTCGAGGTCCAATAATTTGAAGCGCCACCTAACCGTGATCCACCACGTTGACCAAGCTTCCTGTGACCTCGGAACAGGACAAAAGTCGTCACAGTCCTGCGAGTCGACCCCCGTATTACTTCCGCCGGAAGTAGTTTACCACGTTTAGGGAATTGATGATTAATTCACACTCTAAAAAATAATGTAGCCATTTTGAATAGTAAATCTACTCTGAGTTCGAAATTAGCAAAACTATGTAAATCTTACTCTTTGCCAGGTTAATGTTATTCTAGATTTAAGCTCTAAAAAATAATATTACCCTTTTGAGAAGTAAATGCGGTCTGAATTGTATGATAAGTAAACTATACTAAATTAAGAGTAAAGCTGCCTTGATTTAGAGTAAAGTTGGCTCTGTATTTAATATAGCTTAATTAATTTAGCATTTTGCGTGCTATTACTTTTCAAAATGTTTACTTTTAAGAGTGCATTGCGGCAAATATTTTAAAAGATTTGTAAAATTTATGGACATATTTATTACGCTAAATATTTTTTTATTAAGCATTCATTTTTTAAAAATTATATTAGTGTTTAGCTCAGTTTGTAAATGTGGACATATTTTAATTGTATTTTGTATTATTCTTAAAATGTACATATTTATTGATGTACGCCTTTGATGGGAAGTATTTTTGTATGGTTGGGAATGCATTTTTTGTTAGATTAATATGTGACTCGTAAAATACAAAATTTTCATTTACTGATTATACTCAAAATTTATATTTTTTAAGACTACAAAATTGATCGCAATAATTTTAATTCTTCTATGTGAAAGTAGAAATAAAATTGATACAAAATAATAAGTAAAAAATAACTATTTTCTGGTGCAAGACAAATGAAATAAAATTCTAACCACCTAACATTATAAACCTAAAAATCATTAATTTTTTATTGTAATAAAATTTGCGTTTTGTAAAAAACGCATGGCGATGGATGGATTTTCTAAATCGCCATTTGAATAAGTTGATGAAGGGAAAATTGAGACACAATAATTCAAACTCAAAACTAGACATGTTCCGGGTAGCAGCGTTACCCGGTATCCGGTTACCCAGACCCTTATCAAATTCCTCCCGCGTACCGGGTACCCTGGCCGGTAATACACAAACACATTTTACTGTACTTCATCTATTTATCCATTTTCGCCTTAAATTTAATTTTGCGCCGACCACACCCTCTGGGTGGGGGGTGAGGCGCAACTCGGGAAATCTTGATTTTGCCGTATTTCATTCATAGCTTTCATTTTTAGTGCAAATCTCATTTTTCCCCGACCCGACCACACCGCGGGGGGTGGTCCCATTGACACCGAAATTTGATACGATCCCTCTCTACGGATGTCGCAAATCGATTTCGATTATCTCAATCCGTTCTCCCTGCTGACGGACACACAGGCAGACCCAGTACCGTACCAACCGTGGTATATGGTGGTACCAAATACCAGGCCCGGGGCCCGCGAGGGCCCGGGCCAGGTCGCTACCTTTACACTAGATATAATGGACTTTCTTGAGCATTGAAGATTTTACAAAAAAGTATTCCACGCAAATAAATTTTCTTACATCTAACACAAAACTGCTAGATCTTATTTGTTTTTCAAGTTCAATTATTTGTGTATGAATTTCATTGGCTTCCACTTTTGTATGAATTTAGAGCTAACGTACTTATGATTTTAATTTTAATATTTGATTTTCGAATTTTAATTAATATGCTAAATTATGATTTTAGCTGAAACTTAATTCAGAAATTAAGTAAAAAAGAAATTAAGCCCATTCAATAAAACCTAAAAGTATGGGTCGACTTATTTCTGAGCTTGAGCAATTTAAAATTTGTGACTTGTAGGGTAAAAATCGGAGAGGATCACTTCATGGCTACCCATTTTTAGTTACAATTTCGACATATGTAATGCTACATATTATACTTATTTTGTGGGATTGTGAGGAATTCTGTGTATGTAAAGAGTTACTACATTACAGGGTGGCCCTTCGTAACTGGTAGTGAAATGAAACGCTGTAGCTTCAACATTTTTCATGCTATGAATTTCTATTAAATTTTACTGGAAAGCCAGTTAATTTTTGAGTAGAAAACAATTTTTAGTTTTCTAAATTTCCTCCCCACGATTTCATGCAGCGCTAAAGACGCGGCTTCCAGCCCTTGATTAATGCACGCACTGAATTCTCGACAAATTGTCTCATTCCGTGGTCAACCATTTTTTTAGAACTTCCACACTTATATGAGGCTTAGAACACACCTTTGCCCCGAACTTTGACCAGCTTTCGTAATTCTGGCATTGAAATACACGAAGTATGATGGATATTCCGAATTGGAGATAAAGTTCGGAATTTAGTTTTTTGGTCGCGCTTGCACCATTTTTTGCAATAAAAGCTGGTGCCGAGTCCTGCTGGAAGGTCCAGTCGACTCCATTGAATACGATCTCATTTAGGGGATGTACCACGGACTCGAAAACATTTTAAGAAATTTGATTCCATCACCTTCCCCCCATTTTTGACAAAATGTAGCGGAATTGCCCTATTTAGCTCTCACCTGTCAAACTGATCAAAAGACCTCGATGTGGTGAACTTTTGACCTTTTTTCTATATGTGGGGATGTCTTAGACATATTCTGCGCCGACAAGGTCTTTTTGTTTGTTAAAAAATTCCTCCACAATGAAAATCTCCTCCTCTGTAAACAGAATCGTTTTCACTTTTTTGGAGCGTACCGCTTCAAGTCGGCCCTGCAGTTAATTCGATGGATAAAGTGCATCGACACTGTCAGCTGTGAGGCTATTTTCCGGTTTTTTAATTTCTAGAATTTCTTCGGATTCTGAACTTCAGCGCCTTCACGATGGTTGTGGTCCTTGTAGGTTTTCAATAAATTGTTCTGCGACTGTTCTTAGTCGACCTGGTCCCCACGAACGTTTTTATAGTCCGTTGGACTAAATTAAAGTGCACGTTCGATTCCTGTCACACTTTTCAAATTCGCCATTTCTCCTCTCATTTTTTTGGTGAAAAATTATCGCCGCCTGCGTGCCTTTAATATTTTCCCTGTCGATATGCTTTGTAATAATTAAACAATTAATTATTGGTTTTTATGCAAAATCGCACGACGAATCCAACGCACCTATCAGATTTTTATTATCTCCAACGGTTTTAAAGTTAAGAGCTACTTACAGGTAGCCTGGGCATGCTATGTATTACCTAATTTCTTGAAACCAAAAATATGCTAACTTTGCAAAATTCAACGTGAAAAAAGCAAAGATGCTTTGTGGCAACTCAAATGTTCCTTGATAGGGGGCAAATTTAGCTTAACCCAGGGACAAACTTAGGTAAATATGAACTTAACTGACTCTTAACTTACAATGCGATGACGCCAGCGGTCTCACTCCGATTTTAACAAAACCACGACAATTATGGAGCCTTTTTACAAATAATAGAAACCGTGTTTCAGGATTTTTCATAATGTTCAGGTTAAACGAAATTATAAGTTTTGTATTGTATTGCTTTATTTCACCACTCTTTCGGGCCAAGCGCCCGATAGAGTACGACAAGAAAATTTTGCATCATTTAACAGTAAAACAATTACATATCAAACTTCAATTTTTCAAAAACAACAGATATTACGAACTTCGATTCATGGAAATAACTAACCAATTTGACAGGTTTTAACATTCTGTTCAAGTTACATAGCAAGATGATTACCAGTACAGTTTACATGACAAGTTTCATACACTAAACGAAATTATATGGAATCGGAACGAAATTATATGGGTGAGAAAGAATTTCCATTTTGACCGTAACATTTTCTCGCTAAGGAGAAAAATACAGATTCTGGCTTACGAATTCCATCATAATTTCGCTTTAAAATGCGTGGGCATGAACTGGTTTCCTCGAATTTTGACGCGGCCAATTTTAAATTGCTCACACAAGGAAATAAGCTGACTTCATTTTCAGCCAAATTTGGATTTTTCAAAGTGATGAAAATTTTTAAATTTTGACCCTATTTAAAAAATGAAACAACATTTTTGCAAAGAATTATATTAAGTTTAAGAAAATTCTACATTTCAAAAACTTTGAGTTTGAGGATTTTCTGGTCTGGAGCATATTTTCAAAATCCCGAAATTGTATACAAATTTTGAACGTTAAAAGTTTTTGGAAACACAGTTTTTGTAAATTTATGGAAGTAATTTTGAGCACTACGTTCTTTCACTTTTAAAATAGCGTTAAACATTCAAGATGAACAACTTTGAAAAATCCTGAATGGGCTGAAAATGTATTGACAAATTCTGACACACCCGAAAACGCGAACATTCAGGAAAACGAAAATTACGGGTCGGGTTGTTTCAGTGTGTGAGTAATTTAAAGGTGGTCGGGTCAAAATCGGAGGAAACCGTTTTAGGTCTACGCGTTTCAAGTTTAAACGAAATTATGATGGAATTCGTAAGCCAGAATCTGTATTTTTCTCCCTCGCGAGAAAATGTCACGGTCAAAATGGAAATTGTCTCTGACGGATTCCTTTATAATTTCGTTTAAACTGAGCATTGTGAAAAATCCTGAAACACGTTTTCTATTAAGTATTTGTCTAAGGTTCCATAATTATCGTGGTTTTGTTAAAATCGGAGTTAGACCGCTGGCGTCATCGAATTGTTAGTCTGACTGCTTCAGGCCCAAATGCTTACAATTATTTTTTTTATTCTTACCGCTTGGTACAATTTTAAAAGTATCTTCAGCTAAACCGTTGGGTTTTCACCATACTGGATGTTTTTGAATATGTCCTGAATTCAAGAAATAATACAATAAGTGGTCTAAGAACTAAAAGGAATTGAGTTTTGGGACCTGCATTTTCGCCAATTCGAAATGAGTCTGGCACTTTTTCAAATTTTTAAAATGGATAGAAAAGTAATTAATCGCAAAGGGTTTAGGAAGCTTTGGGAAGTAGCGAAAAGTATGTCATATTCGCATATTTATGAAACTTAGGTTCATATAATTGATTTTTCTCCGTCCCGCCGATGTTTTCAAAAATATGGCTGAGTTAAAAGCGCAAGTAAATGTCACCATTTTCCCATGGAACTGGGAAAATAATGTGCTCTTAATACTCGTAGAATATTATCTACTTCGTTCCAGAATGCTCTAATATTCTGGAGCGAAAACGATAACATAATATCGAAGATATTGAACTTATGAAAGGGCCCGGCACTTAAGCTCATACCAGGCCTGAAAATTTCGCGGCACGGCTCTGGGCAGACCGACATAAAGTAGCTGAAGCTGCTTAATAAATTACGTAATGTATCGCATGATGCCCATTTAACACCGCCTCCTGCAGTTCTCAGATTCTGACGAGATTGCCTGATATAACGAGCCAACGAGGGAATAATATCGCGCAACTCCTGCTGATCTTATCAAGTAATTCTACTTTAATTGCATGTTATAATCTTGTTAATTATGTTAAATTATTTATTTATTAAAATAGCTACTCCAAGTTGGAATCAGAGTTTTACTTTGTACATACGTACTCTTCAATTCGATTAAATTCCGGAAATTATTCGATGCATTGATTAGCAGGTACATAACTTCAATTTTTTATAACTCTTTTTATGATGATTTTAATCTGAATTTGTTTTATTATTTTTTAAGCTGTAAACGTAAAGTCTCCTTCCATTGGTCACGTGGCAGCACGGTAAATAATTAGAAATTTACATTTACTCATAATTTCAATTTTGAGAAGTAATGCACTCTTAAAAATAATATTTCCCTGCTATACTCAAATTGCTATACTCAATTGATATGTACTGTGCGGGTGGAGCTTAGCTCGTCAAAAAGCAGCGTTGGGCCTCACATTAGCAGGGAGAATTGAGGCGCAAAACTGCTTTTTGACGAGCTAAGCTCCACCCGCACAGTACATATCTTGCTCAATCAGAGGTTAAAAATTTTGATAAGGTTCTATTGCATGCGGGATTTGAATTTGTGTGCCTCAAGTTTCCATTCATCCATGGATTCAAATGGCGATTTTAAACCTGTTAATCTCCTTGCGTTTATTACAATATGAAGATTTTATTACTTTTTAACATCGATAATTTTTCAATTCAACACGTCTGGAGGCTAGACTTTATATTTTTTGTCTTTCGGAGATTCGTATTTTTAGAATCGCCAGAAAAGTCAAGTTCCACCCCCGCATACAAGGGAACATTTTCTCCGTATTTCTTATGTTTTACGAAACGTACCTTTGAAAGCGCATTTCCTCCCCAAAGAGGAACAATATTTTTAAGGGTGCGCATACATATATTAGATAATTCATACAATTCTAAAACATATACACATTCAAATTACACAGGGTGACAAGATGGCGGCCGACCTTGCGACCGAGTTATCAGCAGAGGTCAACACCATGAAGGCACACTTGTCTCAGAGTCGCACCCAAATCGACCAAATTGCTCGCCGTGCAGGAGTGGTCATCGAGCACAACGAGTTTTGTAATCCAATAATTTGTTTTGTATTTGTTATTAATTTATACTTCCAAAAATATTTCTTTCTTCAAAATGCCTTCAATTTAAAAATTGGAAAAATTATTCATTCATTATTAATTTTTTACTCAGTTTATCTCAAATTCGCCTTACTAAATGGATTTGTCAATATGTACTAAGCATAGGGTAAAAAATGAATAATGAATAACATCATTCATTCTTCACGAGTATGAAATGATCAAATATTTATTAAGTATCCATTTATCTATTTAAAACTTTTGACAAAGTATTCACTCATTATTCATTAATGAATGAAGAACTTACTCATTTTTTACTGAATAAATGAATGTGAACAGGTATACTTATGGGTGTTAATTTACTTTGAATTCAGGTGCTAATCCGAGCGATATGCTGGCAAAACTACTCCATTTAATGGACGACATTCTGGCACTTCCACTTACGGAGGGCGTGATTTTCGCCACGTTGGCGTTGCAAGGTCACCCTGTCGACACTACCTACAACGGCGACAGCTGCCACACCCTCGTTGACGCCATTGACGAACTATTCTTCTCACTTCCGGAGAATCTGGCGGACAGCGTGGACCTTGTCGTCAACCAAACTCCCATAGTCGTTGAGGCTAAAGACACCTTTGACCCTCTTAATGTTACTGACATGAATAGTTTCGGTAATTTACATATAAGTTAAATTAATTATGCTAATATTTCTTATCAAAAATTATATAATATATTCGAAATATTTAGATTATGAAGAGGCCAATACGCTGGAGACTTCATCTCTCGAAGTGGTAATTTTAGCATATGTAAAAAATTAAAAACGATTTATAATTAATGACACAATTCATGCACAAGGTCCTTGGTAACATTGTAAAATCCTTAAATTTACAAGTGCTTACAAGTATTCCTGAGGATAGTTGGTTTACAAATTTTCGCAAACTTATTCGGATCACGGGGGTTTTTGTTATTTTGCACACGTTTGTAAAATTATTTTACAAAACGCTCGGATTTTACGATGTTACCAATGACAACGTGAATTTTTTCACAACGGAACCTTTTTTCAAGCCAAAAATTATGAATCATGTGACACCTGCCTTTCAGTTGAATGCCCTCTTTGAAGAAAAGTATGTAAATCTTTGGGGCACAATTTACATATCGGCTTTAATGTGGAAAGAGTGAGCGAAAATTCACTAAAAAATTGAACCTTGTCGCCATAGTTTAATTCAAAGGGACCATTCAACGAAAAGAAAAGTGTCACGTGATTCCTAATTTTTGGCTCGATTTTTTGACATAACTCGCTAGAAAAGATCTGCTGGGTAGCTTGATAAAAGGTTGCATTTTATGTGTAAATTCTACAGATTTCTCCAAATCAGCCACCTTTCAAGCCAAGGAAGGAGTGGGTTTGTCCCATCTGCTACAAAACCTTCAAAGCCAAGATATTTTTAAATGTGCACATTGTCACCCACGATCCAAATGCTAGTGTGCAATGCGAGGTGCGTCTTTAATTTAAATTTTAAAATTTAAAATCAGCATTGGATCACTCATTGTCAAAATCAACACGTTTTTAATAATTTTTCTGCTCTAAAAATTTCTTTTAAAACTCGAGGCGACAAATTTGAAGTCAATAAGGCGATTAACAAGAAAGCTTTTTATGCCAGATTGGGTCCCAATTTTTTTGAAGGCTCCTTAAACCTGACATCTTCAAAAACGGACAAAATCGGGATTATTTTTATGTTTTGTACAAAAATTTTCAATTTTCAATTTTGCTCGACAAAATTTTTGGACAGAATTTTATAATAAATTTCCACAGCCGAAAAATGATTAAAAATGTCGTGCTATTAGTGATGAGTAATCCAGTCCTAAGTTAACGAATTTAACATTTTCGACTGTATCTTTTCTTTTGTATTGTCCAGATTTGCAGTAAAATTTTGAAAAATCCGGTCTGCCTGAAATTTCACAAGAGGAACATGCACACCCCGCGTGAACGTCCCCGCTGCCCCATCTGCCAGCGCCCCTATTTTAACGCCTCTACTTTGCAGAAGCACATTGGGAGCATGCACAGCTCGTCGAACGAAGCCCGACCTCGCTACCCGTGTGAATTTCCAAACTGTGCGAAATCCTACAAATCGAAGGGCGACCGTATAAAACATTTCAAAATCCACCATTCAAAAAAACCCGCTCAATTTGGGTGTACCAATTGCGGGAAAAAATTTAAACTAAGACACCATTTCGACCAACACAAGCTCATCCATTCGACAGAGAAGCCTCATCTGTGTCCCACCTGCGGGAGGTGTTTCAAGAGAGATTGCCATCTGAAAGCTCACCTGGTAAAAATGATAAAATATTTTATTTTCATTTTTTAAGTTATTACACTCTTAAAAATAATGTTACCCTTTCGAAAAGTATTATGAATTCTATGTTAACGCAGGACTCGTAAAAATTAACAGGTTTTTAAATGTTTATCTGCTCTTGGAATTTATTGTGATATCCAAAGTCTAAGGAGGAACACTTCAGTAGTTGCCACCCACAGATTTCAATGTCCTTTGGCTATGTTGGAGCATCCAATGATGTAACAATAACCCCCAAGTGTTTTGATGCCATGGCCACATTTGCGCCCGCCACACCCACTTAAAGGCGCCCAAAACTCTAAAATCACCATCTTAAAACGCTCGCCAAAAATCGAAATTTGATCGAAATTTGAAAATTTTGCACCAGTATACACCCAGATAGTTGCTTTATAATATCCGACACCAAAATGTATTTTTTTAATTTTTTGAATATTTTCGAAAATTTCCTGACCAGGGGTATGTCTTCGAAAAAATTAAAATTTCAAAAAAGTTGAGTTTGATATTGGATATGATAAAACAACTATCTGGGAGTATAATGGTGCAATATTTTCCAAATCCTATAGAAATTGGATTTTTGGCGAGGGTTTTATTGAGTGAAAACAGGGCTTTTTTCGTGTTTTGGCGCCTTTAAGTGGGTGTGGCGGGCGCAAATGTGGCCATGGCATCAAACCACGTCAGGGTTGTTGTTCACTCATGGGGTGCTCCAACATATCCAAAGGGCATCGAGATCTGTGGGTGGCAACTAGTGAAGTACCCCTCTTAAGAGCCGGTCTTTGCAAATTTTTTTGAAATATTTATCAGACCTGGCCAAATTAGTAATTGACAATTACAATTACAAATTAGTAATTGTAAATTGTAATTTCAATTACTTCATTCGAGAAATGTAATTGTAATTGTAATTTGTAATTGAACTAAATGTAATTAGTAATTTCTAATTGCAAATTTCAACATGGTGTAATTGTAATTCAATTACTTCTTCAATTACAATTACTAAATCTCCATCTATCGTGATTAAAACCAACCAAAAAACCCTGATTTTGTTAAATCGACTGTATTTCGCATGCGAAAATTTCACTGTCTTTCATTTTGTGAATTTAAATAAACATTATTTCGTAGTCGCCAATTTTTTTGTTACATTAGAATTAATTACTAGTGTGTTTAACACATTGAGCCTTATGCATGAAAATAAGTAAATGCTACAAATTGTGTAATTGAAGTTTAAGATAAATTACTAATTATAATTGAGATTTTTTAAATGATAATTCATCATTTAATAGTCAAATAATTTAAATACTTGTTCACTTTGAACAGTATACATACTGATAAATGCTTTTACTTGCAAAATTTGTCTCGTAAATTATTTTTTCTAGGTGGAAATTTTGATGCAAAGGCATTACATTGTTAAAAGTGAACAAGTATTGCAATTATTAGCTCACCCTGCGAAGCATGAGAGCTATTGAATTCCTCTTGTCCGTCCGTCCGTCTGTCTGTGTGTTCACGAGTTTTTTGCATCAATTGATGCTAATTAATAATCCCCTTGACCATTATGGAATAAATTAGGCGCACCATTGGTATCGAACAATCCTGCCGCAAATGGTGCGAATTAATTGTGCAAATGGATCGAGAAAGCACTACAATTTTGGAATAAGTAGCACCGTTCGTATTGAACAGTTGGTTATCCAAGCTGATGCGAAACAATTGGATGAGCATCAATTGATACTCACTAGAATGGATCAGGTCCATTTTTTCATAAATTAATAGCACCGTTGGTATCTGACAATCGGAAACACCAAATGATGCGAAAGAATTGGGGGCTTTGATGCAAAACGCACCAATGGTACAGAATAGCCGGGAGAATTTATTATATAATTTTGACACAAATTTTTTGAAATTTTATTTGACCCACCACGGTTAATCTCCAGCAGTGGTGCAAAATACTTTGCCATCTTCCTCGTTTTTCTGCACCATTGATGCACAATTGCATAATAATTATTGATCTATTTTATGCTTCGTTTTTCTGCACCACTGGTGCATAATTGCTTAAAAATTATTGATCTATTTTGTTGAACTACTATAATTTTGCACCCAAGGTGCAAAGGTGCCAGGTAATTATATATTACAGGGTGAGCTACTTCTAACGTTACTACGGTTTATTAAATGATGAATTTTCATTTAAAAATCTCAAATGTAATTGTAATTTGTGATGTAATTCAATTACGTAATTTGTAATTGTAATTGAAGCGAATTTTTTTAGAGAAGTAATTGTAATTTGTAATTAGTAATTAGTAATTGAGTTGTCTTGAGTAATTGTAATTTGTAATTGTAATTGAAGCAATGTTGTGATTGTAATTGTAATTTGTAATTTGACTTCCAAGTAATTTGGCCAGCTCTGATATTTATACACTCCGGAATAATCCGGAGTCCGGATTTTGACAGAATGGATCTCAAATTTAATAATCCTTCAGAAAAACTGGAAGCATAATTTTAAAATAAATTTGTAGAGCTGAGAAATACCTGCACATATATGTAATGACGATTTTGGTTAAGACTCGCGTCCCATTTAAATTGAATAATTTTTACGAAATCCAGAGTAGCGCAAACTTAATAAAGGACGAAATTTACACTGGATTTAATATACTGTACTTACATAATATTTCTAATCCTAAGCGTGATTACTTTTCAAGAGGGTAGCATTAGTTTTAAGAGTGCGATGAAATAACGGATCCACATATTTTACTGGCGACACACGTGGATAGGTCGAACCGCAAGATTTTCCAATGCCCAAAATGCCCTAGGACTTTTTTAAGTGGGTATGGATTAAGGCGACATGATGCCCATCACGATGTCCACCGTCCCGACGAAAAGGAGGTGAAGAAGTTTTCGTGCACCCTTTGCGACATGAGATTTTCCAGGTCAAACAACTTGAAACGGCACGTGTGGGTCATGCACCACGTGGACGGCGACCTCGGAATAGGACAGAAGACGCCAAACTTCTGCGAATCCATCCCCATTTTCCATCTTACGCCGGAAGAAATTAACAACTTTTAGTAAATTGGTGATTGACACGCTTAAAAATAATATTACTCCTTTGAAAAGTAAATGCACTCTGAATTCTAGATTAAGTAAACTATATTAAATTCGTAGTAGATTTTATTCTTTGTCAAATTAACGTTATCCTGGGTCTACTGACACTCTTAAAAATAATGTTACACGTTTGAAATGTAAATTCATTCTGAATTATGTTGGAATTAAGCTTTACTAAATTCAGAGTAATGTAGACACTTACAATGGGTATGTTTCCCTGCTGATTTGAGTATACAAAGTTGTGTGTCAACTGGAGCGACGGTGGCGCACATACCCATCTGTGTATTATTTAGTTGCTAGGTGAGAAGTGGTGGCGCTCGGGTGCAACACCTACCAGTGTATTATTAGTTGGTGAATGCATAGACGGCGCTCATAGTGTGGCTACTATCGCTCGTCCAGTACTTCTTCTAGATAGAATAGTATAGTTCTGTCAGTGGCGGGGCTAGTAGTGAGCCCGTGCCCACGTGAAATTTTGTGCCCCTTTACACCAGATATTATTGAACTTTTTTCAAAGCCAAATGAAATTAAGAGAAAATCGTGGTGGATACAAAACCAGTAAAAGTTCTTGGTCTTCGCTCAAACTTTGCATATATCTACTTATCTGGGATGCTGAAATGGAAAATTAGTACTTATTGAAAATTAGAACTAAGGCAAAATTTTATGAAAACGTTTTCCACCGCAATGTCTTTCATAATTTCATTTCAAAAACATTTGCAGGACGTCGTATTTAAAAAAAAATTTCATCAATTTTGCTACAATTTTTAAAATATTTAAATGGTTAGAAATTTAAAAAATACTTCTGAAACTATTATTTTCAAAATCAGCCCCAGAATAATTGGAAATTCCAATTATTGGAATTTAAATTTGTAAATATGTTGGTGCAAATCTCGAAATATTCAAAGCAATTATAGGGCACCTTTGAGGTTTACACAGTATCTACTATATTAGGAAGGAGATCTGACAAGGGAATGTTCCCAACTGCTCCTCGCGTTTAGGTTACTCCTGTTGTTTCAAATCTTCTAGAGCCATAGACGTACATAAGATTAACTTAGGGAATTGCGCCTAGCGGATGAGACTGGTCGAAAAACGCCGTGTGGCTCCGCACGCGGATTTAAAAACACAATTTGTTGTTGAATCTATAGACAAACTTATGTTGACTTAAAAAATCATGATGAATTACTTTAAATAATGCCTGCAACTTTTTTAGCTTGAATTCAAAGTGGACACTTTGCATACAATTTTTCAAAAAATATGCTCGACACTTAACTCATGTGGATGACCAGAATAGAATTTAGCCGAATTTTCAAATGGCCGGTTTTCTATTCAGTCAAGGGTCAGGAAGTCTGATATGGCTTCAAATTAAAAGTGACAAGAAAGTTTCCAAAAAAAATCGGGGATTTGTCAAAAAAGAAATGACCCTGAATTCTTCACTATAAGTGACCCCAGTGACCAAAATACGTACTCGAAAAACTGGATCAAATGAATTTTGGAATCCATGGTTATTGGTCATCATCTTCTGCAGAAAATTATTTTTTGGCTGGACGTAACTCGCTGTCAATAAATCAAAATTCCTAAAAATTGCCAAAAAGTTGAAAAAATTTGATTTTTTTGCCGAGGGGAAATTGCCCCAAACTTTCCCCGATGTGGTCACATTGAAAAAGTAGGGACAGATTTTGAAAGCTAATATCCTAATGAATCAGAAATACCGAATGGATGGACTGAATTCAACAAAATGTGGTAGCAAGCTAGCTCCAAGTAAGTGAGAAATTTTTTTGGGGAGTCTTCAGGAAGAAAGTGGTTGTGGAAGTCACACATGAAACCTAGCCAACTATAGCTTAGGGTGATTGTAGGGTAGGGTCACTACTTTATCATCGTAAATTTTTAGAAAACCCAGTCTGCTATATTACCAGATATCAACATTTTTATGCCAGTCTCATCCGGTAGGCGCAGTTCCCTATACAGATATTTATGATTTTAACTCATGCTTAGCGAAGTAGGGTGGCGCGAAATTTGACAGAATGTTTTAAATGTTTTATTTTTCAAACGGCAATAACTTTTGAAATAATTAACGGATTTTCGACATTTTAAACTTAAATCAGGATAAGGAATTCAACTTTCGCAAGTAAAATTTCTCATATATACAAGTGACTTTGCATATTTTCGTACGTCTCTTAAATTTATGGGTTTGTCAAAACACCTTTAAAATATCTCAGATGGTGGATATTTTCTTCAAATGTCGAATTTTTTGGTCATTTTAAGCCCAAGATTTTAAAAATCGTACGAAAACGGTAAAAGTTATGGAGATTTGAAATCATTAGATAATCAAGATTTTTAAGTTCAAGCCTCTCCACTACCCCGAACATGAGTTTTACACGGAAGCATGAACGAATCCTTCTAATTTCTTAATTTGGCTAACTTTAATCGATTAATCGAACTAGAGGTCGACGCCGACAAATTTTCGGGGGCGGCGGCGCCAGTTTTTGGTGATTTTTCGGCGGCGTCGGCGGCGCGGCGTGGCGTCGCAATGTTGAAGGTATAAGAAATCCAATTTTTCGGCGGCGTCGCGTAAAATAGTACCGGCGTCGGCGGCGTCGACCTCTGAATCTAACCTTTACCGAACCGTACTAGGGCTGTCAACGCCGTTCGGAATTCTCAGATCCGGATTTAGTATTATTTATCGTTATTATCGATTTTCTTGGAATTTGGACGAATGAGGTAACTGTCAGACAGTTGGCTACTACATATTAGTTGCATTTGAGTTCCTCTTTGGCCTCCTCCTGTGCAAGACGTGTCTCTCTCTCGCTCTGCATCCTCTTCCATCTGGGTCGCGGGTGTGCCAGGGCCAGTTAAGTGTGTCCCAAGGCTTTTTTGTCATGTGAGCCTCGTCCACTCACTCCTCCCACCTGCGTGCCTGGTGACACCCCCTGCCACACCCGTCCCAGCAACGACAAGCTGAGCCATCAGGCGAAGATGGACCCACCGGACTTTATGCACAGGAGGATCAACGTCAGGAGGAGCTCCCCCAGGTAAGACCTTTGTTTGATATGTTGGGGGGGTGAGCATGTGGGAGTGGTCGACGGAAGAGTGAGTGTGCGCAGTGCTGGTGGGGGCGGCTGGGGTAGGTCTACGGGGTTCCCATGACCTAGTCATGTGCTGCGGTGGGAGAGGTTAGCTTGTGGGGTGTATCATGGCCTCTTTTGAGGTCACTTAGGCCGAACCCGGATGGGTCATTGGTTAGTTTGTGGTCCATGGACGCTCCGCTCCAGCCCACAACCCGTCGTGTCCCCACCACCACGGCGCCTACTCATTTGGATATCACCTTTTTCCTTGTGTAAACCGCCTATAACCTCTATCTTGCATTGGTCGAGCCTGGGTTTCTCAGGTAGTCAGGGCCGAATGGTGATCTGGGCATCATTCCCAGATCAGGTAGAGGTTTTCCAGACTGACCACCATAGTCTGGTTTTCCCTCTACTCCCCTGACTACTATCACAATTATTATAATACAAAATTTGACTAACTATGTGACTTGCAAGAGCTACTGGCTATTTATGCAATAAAGATACATATACATATACATACATATATTAGTTGCATTATCATATTCAATTGCAATCTCAGCTTTTTTAAAGGACTTCACTATTTTCGAAAATTTTCTACCATGTCAGTAATTTCTGGGAGATTTTTCAGTTGATGGAATGAAAAATATGGCATTTCAAAAACTTAAGTTTATTGTCGGATATCATAAAGCAACAACCAGGGATAAATAATATCTAAATAGCAAAACAATCAGAAATTTTAAAAAACTCACTTTTCTCAACGATTTGTATTTTTACAGCTTATGTAATGTAAATGAACTTGATGTGCAAAGGCTGTTGGGTATGATGCAATAAATCAATTATCTTTAAATGAACATGAGTCTAACCATTAAAAAATGTGGATTCTTTTCTGAATGAAATCCGGATTTCGAGGTATTCGAAATCCGAAAAATCAGCATTTTTTCGAATTCGAAGTTTTCCGATTTGGCAGAGCTATCCCTGTCAAATGTTCGTTCACAAACGTTCACAGCACCTTAACCGAACCGTACTTTCAATTTTTTTTATTTGACCGAACCGTACCCATAACGCAATAATGTACGGGTAGGGTACAGTTCGGTTCAGTACTGATCGAACCTCAAAAGTTCGGCGAACACCCTCCATGCACATCGAACGTATTTCCCGCGTTAGTCGTGACTCACAATGGAGGTCTCCCAACGTATGCTCACAGATTTGGACGAAATTAGTGTCAATCGATCATAAATATAATTAGTATGAAATTTGCAAATGGAACTATCTGCCAATGCGCAGGTTTGGCGGAGATATTTGCATAAAAAGAGGAGAAAACGCACCAAACGGCTGGCATATTTTTCATTTTCCAAATTTCCTGCGCATTTTTTCTGCTTTGAATGCAAATATCTCCGCCAAACCTGCGTATTGGCAGATAGTTCCATTTGCAAATTTCATACTGATTACATTTTTGATCGATTGACACTAATTTCGTCCAAATCTGTGAGCATACGTTGGGAGACCTCCATTGTCAGTGTTACTCATTATTTTTATCAAAGGTCGCTTCAGAGTTTTATATCGCGAATGCTTAGCTTAAAATCTGAATTTCTCAATTGTTATAACTATCAAATTATGACCTGATTCCAAAAATGAAAGGTCAGAATTGTTTCCGAGCAATTAAAAAATATACTTCAAAAGACTATTAAAACCTTTATGCTGGTTCCAATTTTTTTTGAATGATTTAAAAATTGAAAGCTTTTGAAAAGTGAATTTTTTAAGAATAACTCGGTGACACTCTGAGCAAACATGAGACATGTCCTATTTGAAATAGATTAATATAAGTAAATTTACAGCGTTCTTAAAAAATATCCAGTTGGCCAAAAAATATATTTAAAAACTCCGCCAATGGCGAAAGTATTTTAATACGTGCACTGAAGAAGGTGCAAAAAATTGATTATCGTATTTCTAAGCGTGAAAAATGTTAAATTAGTCCGGTCAAAATCGGAAATAAATATTTAACACATTCTCATTGTTAGAAGGACGTACAATAATTGGGACGTACGAATAATTGATATAAAATAATTTTTACATAAATAGCTGGCTGTTTTTGGGAAAATTGAATTTGAAATTAAAAATCGTAGCATTAACCTCTTTCATACATACAGGGTGTTAATAAAGTCCGATCCCATTTTTCCTGTAAAAAAGTGAAGGCTAGTATAAAAAAAAACTACCCGTGATACTTACAAAAAATGTTCGACATATCTACCTTAGTATTTGGTCTTGTTACCATTTACTTTAACCATG